GCGTGTGATAGGATAAGAGTGTCACACGCCCCTGCGATGGTGTTGAAAACCAGGAACAAAACTCCTGAGACCCAAAAACAAAACTCCTAGAGACGGAGGGACACACACACACACAGCGCCGAATCGGCGCTCCCTGGCGCGCTCTTAATTTGCTCCGTGGGGAGGGGGGGCAAAAGTGCATCGACTTAACGAGCCTAAGTGTAACCTAACAAGCCTGAGAGAAGACCTAACAAATGGAAGAAAGCAAGGAGAGGAAGGTGTGAGGTGGTGTGTGCGGGTGGGGTTAGGTTAAAGGCAATGGCTCGAAAGCATTTAGCCTTAAAGCCGAATCGGCGATCCTTGACTAAAAAGTTAACTTGACACCTAAAAAGCCTCTAGCAACGAACGCAAACATTGAAAGAAACGAAAGAACCCTGGAAAGAGAGAAAGCAAGACCGTGCGTGAATTACTCAGTGTGAAACCGACAAGTGAGTACTTAGCAGCGTGACGTGAAAGAAACCTGATTTACGCCTCTAGCAACGAGACAAAGAAGAGAAACAGCATGAAAGAAAGAAACCGCAAAGTGAATACTTAGCCGCGTGTCATGCGATTACACTAGCAGCATGTAATGACATTCTCTGATGTGATTTCAGTATGCTCTGCAGCACTGTATCGGCAATCCCGAGCGATAATCAGCTGATCAGTGGGAACGCATGCAAGACGATCAACCACTGACAAATCCCCTCAAGGGTCTATGCTCAACGCGACCCGTAGGGATCACACAACAGACCTCAGTGGGACCCTGTTGCGAAATACACTTGGATCATCTTAGATCCATGCTCGCAACGGAAGCTAGTTACTAAATACTTAGCGCTTGACTTGCAGAACCGTAAGGGTGAAGGAGTCCGCATCAACAGTATTGTGCGCAAAGGACGCACTAGCACTTTACGAGAAGATGAGGGTAACAGCTTGGTCAACAGCTAAAAAACGAGAGTTTAAGAGTTTGCAGGTACACAGGAGTGATCAGCTCCCGCTTCCTAGGACAAGTGCAAAGAGCTTCGTTGAGCAGAGCTTTGCATGTCCTCTCTGCCCCGCTGCGATTTGTACACTGTTCCTTTGCAGACAGGAGTTGACACACACACACACACACGCGCGCGCACCTTCTGATGGTCTTTCAACGCACAGTTCACCATCAAACTCACCAAAGGTGGCGGTGTCAGGGGGCCATGTCTCGACCCAAAGCTGTTCACTTCGACTAACACTTCAAGTTGGGCGGAGTGCATGGAAGGGTTGGGCTGGGGTTGCTAAAGGCGGATCGGAAGGTCTGGCAGAAGATTTCCTGATGGATAAGACATAAAGCGCAGAACACTAGGGATGAATGTAAGGCTTTCTCAGAGGCTTGGACCGCAATGGCAAAGGCAGACCCGTTGGTCCCAAGCGGGGACCCATTCCCGGTCCCTGGTGGTGGGGGTTCATGGCAAAAAGTCAGAGAAAGAAGACGACGAGACCCCAGCCCAAAACAAACAAGGCGAACACAGGTCCAACCCCCAGGCTATAAGCGAGAACCCTTCACTATGCGTTCTGGAAGAACAAAAGAAGACTCCAAGCTTCTGGTTTGGGTGGTTCATTTCTGGAATGACCTGGCCTAAGGTCAATCATTTCGTCCTTTTTCATTCCAAGAAGGGCCCGCCAACCAATCAACGCACCTCTTTCTGAATTTTTTTTGAAGAGCTTAATGTGGTGGTCGGCCTTTGCGCATTCAGCGTCCGCTGCATATCTTGCACTCCATTTCGCCTCGCACGTCGCCCGCGCAGGGAGTCACAAGCGCAAAGACATCCGTCGACCGGGCATCGTACTGAGATATGTGGATATATTGATATATATTGTGGAGATGGCCCGAAAGGCTACGGCAAAGTATCTACTGATCATGTCAACCTCTTTTCCAGCCAAGCTCATGGAACTTGGCATATATATCACTATAACATATACATATACATATGTATGACTATATATATATATAGATTGTTAGCTATAATGATAATTAATACACCGATAATGTACTTTGTTGGTTTACTTCCAGCTTGGACCTGCGGGTGGCATGCAATAGGCACCATGATACTTGCGCAGCCTCTTGGATGAAAACCCATCATCGTTCATTACACTATAGGCATCTATAAAGCCCTTGTCGGACCAGGTCTGACATGTACGTACCTTGTGACAGGGGAATGCCCCCACAGACAGAACGCTGCGTGTAGTGTAGAACACATGTCTTGGACCACTGCCCTGCGCTTCACCCTGGCCCTGATGAGTCCTCAACAAGCACACTATGAGCACACTGTCTTTCAACTCAGGTTCCTGGGCGTCCAGTGATAGTTGGACAGCTCCCTTAGCCAATGGTGTCACTGAATTCCCATGGGAGCTTTTATATAATCATCACATCCATGGTTTTCCTGGATCGCCGGGGTTTTAATGCTGGAGAACCCTCTTCTACCATCTTCTGCCCACATTTACAATCATTTACATCATCACTGGTACACTTAGATTGATGCTCGCAGTCAGTTGCTGGATCACGGATGCACTAGCACTTTACTGCAGAAACGACCTGGACCTGGAAAACAGACCTTATAGGGCCGAGAACAACATGGTCCTGGTGTACACTGTTTTGCATCACCGATCTAGCGAATAAAAAAATTTGCAGGTACAAGATACTGCATCCAGTATCTCTTCCAGCCGAACACAATAGCTTTGTTAGCACGGCTAGGTGCCTTTAAAAGAATTTGAGTGGTTTTGAATTAACTTGCAATGTGTGAAAGCCTTAGAAACAGGCGTTGACACACTTCGAACTTGGGTTTTCAGTTAACTCAATTGCCACGATGGGAAGGAAGGTGAGGGTACGGAAAGGCGCATAAGTCCGCAGAACAGTATTGTTTAATCAATGTTTCACAGCAAGTGCAAGGTGAAGCGGCTGCACAGCGGCGGGAAACCTGTTTTTTGGGTGAGGTAGCATGAAGAACAATGGAAACAAACAAAGCAAATTAGACAGCGTGGTCAAAAGTTCAGGTTGCAGGTACACGGAGGTGATCAATCTCCGGTGGAAAAGTAAAACAGGTGGAAACCCTTAGAGCCAGGGTGTGACACACACAACACGCCGTAATCGGCGCGCAGAGCGAGCGGTGGAAAACGCGGGTCTTTTTCTCAAAAACCGCCTGCACGCTTGCAGGTTATGCCCTTTTTGGGCGTAGAGGTTGACCAAAGCTTCAGCCGCAGCGGTGGCATTAGTAAGGTGAACTCGTGGCATGCAATGCAATTCCTGCTATCTGTGGAGTGGTGCAGAGCATGTGGAAGCTGATCAAACGGCTGCGGATTAAAATTTGTAAAGGTTGGGAAAAACGCACAAACCTGATATCATGACGTGGGAATACCGAAAGAGTTCAGAGATTCTGGTGGGAAGTCCATCGTTTATAGCCCGGTGGCTCGAAAATCAGGAAATTCAGGGATAAAATGGAAACCGTGGAATCAGTTATGAAAGTGGAGAAACGGTGAATTCCGGCATGGCGTCGGCGCCCCACTGAAGGGGATCACACCCAGTACCCGAGTGGGAAGACTGAGCGAGTCACACTTCGAACTTGGGTTTTCAGTTAACTCAATTGCCACGATGGGAAGGAAGGTGAGGGAACGGAAAGGCGCATAAGTCCGCAAAACAGTATTGTTTAATCAATGTTTCACAGCAAGTGCAAGGTGAAGCGGCTGCACAGCGGCGGGAAACCTGTTTTTTGGGTGAGGTAGCATGAAGAACCATGGAAACAAACAAAGCAAATTAGACAGCATGGTCAAAAGTTCAGGTTGCAGGTACACGGAGGTGATCAATCTCCGCATCCCCCATCGTGGAACAGCTTCGTTGGCACAGGTATCCACGATGGGCCCGTGCCCCCTGCCTTGGATAGAAAATCTAGGTGGTGGTGGAAAAGTAAAACAGGTGGAAACCCTTAGAGCCAGGGTGTGACACACACACACACACCAGGCCGATACTGGCGCTCAAGAGGTTTAGTAGCCACCTAGCAAGCCTTAGAAAGAAAGGAAAGGAAAAGACAGAAAGAGAAAACGAAGAGGGCAAGAGAGAAAGATAGGTGTAGTTACGAGGCCCACTAGGTTCGAAACCCTCTAGTTACCGAATACTTAGCCGCATGAACTAAGTGCAATAGTTAGTGAGCGGGTCTTTAGTCTTAGACCGCCCGGGTAGGAAAGACTAGGACAGGAGAAGCAGAAGGAAAGGCACCAACACACAAGTGTGTTGAGTGCGATTTCCTTCTGTTACCCTAACTCGAGGGGGGGAATAAGAGGTGTGAATTCTCGTGCAGGGGTGGGGTGGGGTGGCTCAGGCTCGAAGGCACTCGGTCGGAAAGCCGTAAACGGCGCACCCTTGACTAAAAGTTTACCTGAAGCCTAAAAAGCCTCTAGCAAACGAAACAGAGACCTAGAAAACGAAAAGCAACAGCAGGAGAGAAACAGAACCAACAGATATTACTTAGCTGCATGGTACGCATCTTTTTTCATGACATGTGAATACTTAGCGGCATGGAGGATTCTTCTATGTTTTTCAACTCAGTGGGCCCTGCGGCATTCGATCAGCATTCTGAAGCAAACCAAACGAGCCAGTGAAGGTCAAAGTGAAGTTCACGTGAAAGGAAAGAGAGTCAGTGACAGTCCCCCAGGTTGGGTCTATGCACATGCTGCGCCCCTTGTCGGGGATCACACCACAGCCGTCAGTGGGACTCTGTGGCGAAACACACTTAGATTGATGCTCGCAAGAGCCAAGTCAGTAGCACTTTACTGCAGAAACGGCCTGGACCTGGAAAACAAACCTTAGGGCCGAGAACAACAAGTGTACACTGTTTTGCATCACCGATCTAGCGAGTAAAAAATTTGCAGGTACAAGATACTGCGTCCAGTATCTCTTCCAGCCGAACACAATAGCTTTGTTAGCACGGCTAGGTGAACGGCCGCCGTGCCCCCTGCCTTTAAAAGAATTTGAGTGGTTTTGAATTAACTTGCAATGTGTGAAAGCCTTAGAAACAGGCGTTGACACACACACACACAACACACATGTGCTAGTGCCATCATCTATTCTAACCTCCCACCCTTTTTTCGGACGGCAGGGTACTTCTCGAAGCTTTGCTGTGACACTTGCAGCATGACTGTCAAAGACCCCGCGTGGCTCACAGAGCTCGACGCTGGCCACGTGCTGAAGCTTCCCCAACGACTGCCCAAGGGTCGGCCGACACGGGTCAAACGAGAAGGTGCTGTGGTGAGAGCCCTCCGTTGCGGCAGCTCGGTGAGCGACTGGTGGAGATCCTCCCAGCTCGAGCCAAGGCTTGGTGAGGGGGAACTCACCATGCCTTGGCCACCTTGCGCCATTTGGGTGGTGACGGCGCGAAGCCAAACTGACCAAGAGTTCAAGTCTACAGCTTGAAGCAATTCATTCAGCTCTTCCAACCGACGCTGCGGATCATGAAATTTCCATCGCCTTGGCAGATCAAGGGATTGGCTCCGGCGTCGCCTGTCTGGTAGCAGCAATGGCAGCTCAGATCTCTGGGTGGGCAGAGTAATCGCTGGGTCGCGCAAGGCAAGGAGAGTGGCCAAAGGGCAGACCGAGATGATCTTGCGTTGTTGGACTGGAGGCAAGACCGACATACAAACCTCTAGGCTGCGAGGGTGTGTGACCAAAAGAAGGTTCTTCTTCGAATGGAAGGACTCTCGGAGGTACTCCAAGAACCTCTTGGCATATCTCACTTCTAGATCAGATTCGGCAGTTTGATCCATCACTCGACCAATCTTCACCCCACTGTCTAAGGGGTGGAATGCATGGGTGAACGGCGATGTGTTGGTCATCTCACCCAAGTCTTCATCAAGCAAGACCTTTGCCCCAAAGTGTTCGCCCAAGATCCAAGCCGTTTGCAAGCAGCACAAGCACGGCGATGAAATCACCACATCGAAGATAAGCTCCGCACTCTTCAACTCCTCTGCCAGCAGCTCGGTGTCTTTGAGACCTTCAGAAGTGATTGGAAGATCAAACTCATCAGTGTCAGGAAGGAATTCCGTCTCTGCGTGCACTACCACACCCACCTTCATTGCCTTCGCCCAATCCTGCATCCTTTCTTCAACTCTGCCCCGCAGCTCGACCAGTTCCATCTCATCGCCTGGCCCTTCCGGCCCTTCGCGGCTCCGCGCGGCACCCTGCGCGGCGTCGGCGTTCTCGCGGCTCTGCTGCATGCCCAAGTGAATTGCCTTCATCCGCGCGTGCCAGTCGACGTGGTGGCTGAGCAAAACCCCCAGCCCCAAGAAGGAGCTCTCTAAACAGTCAGGCCAATCCATCAATTCGTTGAGGTCCCAGAACCGCCAGAACCCAATGAGAATAGGGAGAGACACCGTGCAAATCAAAGAGCCGATGCCAACAATACAAGTGCAGGGATGGCAGCCAGCCTGGATCAATATTTGGGTGGAGGCCACGATGAGGAGCCAGTTCCATCTCAAACACCGATAGGTCTCCTCATGCCAGGTTGGATAGTAGTGACCCTGGTGGTAGGCCCGCATAAACTGATGCATCGAAGGCGCTCCATTGAGCACTTGCCAAAGCGTCGGCGCCACACAAAGGTATGTCAAAACCAGATCTCTCATCCATGGTTTGCATCTCGAAAGCAAAGTGCAACCCAAAGCTAGGAGGGCTGCTAAAACACCTCCTAGCGTCACACCTTGGGGTATGCGGCAAGCAAACACACTTGGGAAGTAAGAATTCTCGGTGCTGTTTGCCCATTGACTGAACACGGCCAGCCAATTGTTTCCAGCAGCCAGGAAACACCATACCCGTGCGGAGCGTCCTGCGAGGGGGCTTTCCAAGGGATCATGGCCTCCACTCCCGTAGAGCATGCCGGAGGAAACTGCCGACACACGATTGCTGAAATCCTGGGTAAAAGCGGAGATCATCAAAAATTGAAAGGCCAGCGTGTAGAAGGCCGTGGAATGATCCAGCCACACAACGTCCTCCTTGACCTGGAAGGTTTCAAAGCAGCTATGGCTATTTGGGGGGATGCACGTAGATTTGTTTTTCCAGCCTGAGCAATTGCAAATAATTGCAAAAAAGCTGCTCATCCGAGAGAATGTCACTCTATCCCGCTCCAAACCCGCTCAAGAACATGCGGCGACGCTGTCACGACCTGTCCTGGAGCTCCTGGAGGATAGGCGGCAGCAGCATGCCCAGGCTCAGGGTCACAGCCAAAAGAAGCCCAAGAGGATGCATATTGCAATGAGTCAAGATCACCTCATGTGAAGGTCCCATTCTGGCTAGTTTTCATTTTTTTGTGTTTTCGAAAGAGCAATGGAATGAACTACCGTCAAGCGAAATGAGTTTGCCAAAAACACTCGTATGGAACGTATGACAATCTGAAACAACATGAAGTGCGTAATCATGTTTGGAATGAACATAACTGAACACGTGCAACTCAACCGAAAGCTTGTTGAATGTTATTTTCCTTTTGACGAGTCGCAAAATTATTGAGCATCAGCGTTTCATGGCCCAATTCCTGTTGACTTCCCCACGTGACGTGCAGAAACATCTTGCTAAAAGTAATCCCTGCTGCAAGCAACAAACTCAACCTCAAAGTTTCTCGCTGACTGACTCCTGCCGTGGCAGTTATCAAGGCTGAAAGGCACAGCCCGATCACACACCAAACCGGGTACTTGATTTGCAGGTAACTCTGGATCCTGATCAACTGCAAACTCGATGCGACAAAGTGGGCACACATCCAACAAATACAGAGTGCCTTTCCCGTGCTCCGCCGCAGCCAAGGGCTTTGTAAGACCACGGGATCCGTGGTCTCACGAAGCCAAGCCTGAAACTGCCACCGAAGCTGTTGCCATCGATCCACACAGCGAAGTTCCTCGCCCGTCTCAAGCCAACTCTCGCGGAAGGAGCTGCGCTCCATGGGGCGGGTTGGCGGCTTCGCGAGGCTTCGCTGCTTGACAAAGATGGTGGACTGCATCGGTGAGTGTGAGATTGGATTTGTTTGAGTCTTTTTGGAGCTGGGTTCGCCCAGCTGGCAGTTTTAGGCCAAGTGTACTTTCAATCCATGTCTGGGTTCAAACTACTGCTGGCGAGCGGTGGCCTTTATATCTTATATAGTGTGTATATATAATATATTATATATAAAATGCATGTATCATTATGTGATTTGTAAGTGGAGTAGATCTGAAGTTTTCAAGCCCTAAAACGAGCCAAGAGTCTCAGAGGCTTCCATGCGTTGCACATTCCAGGACCAGGTGGTTCGGTGTTTTGGGTCACATCAAATCGAGACGAAGCGAACGAACGACGAAGCGACCGGCTGAGACATGGGGAGAGGTGAAAAAGGTGACTTTCTTCTTGGCCTTTCATGGTTCCTTCAATCATTAACTGTATACCACGAAAGCTGACATGTCGTCCTAGGAAAGGACCCGGTCACATCCCGAAAAAACAACTTCGTAGCTCCACACTTGTTCACTCTGGCCCAGGACATAGGTTTGATCTGGCAAAGTGGCAAATAGCTTGATGGAAGCTCTATCGTTGAAGGCAGCCCAAAGGCATCAAGTCCACGGCATTCTGGAGGAATGCCTCCAGGGCAAAAAGAACTTCACAAAACAACAAACAACCCTCATGGAGCGAATCTAGTCATGACCCATCCCACCATCTTTTTCGGAAGGGTCAAAGGAATCCCCCTCATAAGAAGGGATTATGAAGGATTATGAAGGGATGACTCACAGTCTCCGGAGTCTCCTGAAGCTGAGTCCCTGAGTCCGGTGCTTCACCCGGAAGCAACAATCCGACCCAACCCGACCAATCCAAACCAACGAGGCGCAGTCCGGACCGTCTCGTGGTTTCCCACGGTGGATCGTGTGGCGGTCCAAGACGTTTTTGGATGTGGCGATCGACCGTTCGATCCATTTGGTGGCTGTCCGATCCATGATGTAAACCCCGCGCACCTTCCAGGTCCGGGACATGGGAGGTGACCTGCTGCCCGTCCGCCTTCGACCCCGGATGGATCAGGTGAGTCACCGGGAGCGCGGACCGACCCAAACACCACCTGTCTGGGACTGGCGACATACCCCGGCTCAACCACCCCAACTGATCGGTACATATGCTATCATATCATATGGAGTGTCCGGGATAGGTGGAGGACTCGAGCCGGCTGCGCGCGACTTTTTTCCACCGGGTGATGAAGATCTTACCTCGTTTGCTGGCATCGAGCCTCTTCAGGGTGAGGAAAATCACGGCAACAATTTTTGGGATCCAGTGGATAGTGGCCAGAGACTATCCCGCCCATTTTTTCGTTTTGGGGGGGCGGAGTACGTGAAGTCATTCTGGTAACTTAACCTCGGTCAACGCGTGTGCTGAACCTTTCAAGGCGCCAGCGTCTTTCATCGCCCTCCAGACTTCCCAATGCCAGTAACATCAGCTGCATCAGCTGATCAAACGAACTGAAACGTATGCACCCGCAGCCCCCCAATTCCCCCAAACATGGGGGTGAAACTCCACCGAAACCGCACACCACCTTCACTCTGAAGTGGCAAGCGCTTCACGTGGATGTCAACGTGACAACTCAAGTCCAGCGCAGCTTCCCGCGCCAAGCTATTCAATCTGTAAACTCTACAGCAAAAATATTCATGGCTCTCTAACTTCTCTTTCAGCCATGGTTGATGGGACACCCCTCAGCCACGAAAAAGAATGCTATCTCACCACACGTGCATCCCAACCAACCAAGCACAACAAGCAGGGCTCTACAAATGGACGGATTTGTGATATCTGCGAGCTGCATGAGGCCATGGCCTCAGGGCATAAAGAAGGCGAACACGGGAAATCCCAATTGATCCAGCGCTTTCCGCTCCCAGCGACAGTTGTGCCCCAAGGGCTTCCCGCTCCGCGGGTCCAAGGGTGCAGCACGGTGATAGTTTTCACCGCAAATCTGGAAGATCCCTTCGCCCCAGCTGCGTGGCCGGCCATTCTTGAAGACTTCCCTCGGAGAATCGCAACATCGGCGCAGAATCCCCGTTCTCTTTGTCCGATCTATAAGCTCCAAAAGGTGGAGTTTGGGTTTGGGTGCACACTGGTAGGTTGAACAGCATCCATTCCAAGCATCCGCGGTAGCTTCAAGCGCTCCGCCTCAGCATCACTGAGCTCCGAGGATCCCGCGCCGTAGTGGCTCACCCACTCCTCGGTGGGCGACTGTGGTGGGTCGTTGGGTTCGGTTTCCATTCAGAGCCTCGGTGATCGCGACCGACCATCGGATCAAGGGACTGGCAGGTGGTCTGGGTCGCGATCATCATGAATGGTCACGATCCATGGGACCAGGGGACTGGTCGCTCCGTTTTTTCGTCTTGACCCCTTTTTGACCCCTTTTCAACTGAGCGGCAAATCTTCCGCATGGAGTCTGGAGTGTCTGGGTCATTTGTGTCACAGTTTTTCTATTTGATAACACTGTTTGAATACACGCGCCTGGAATAGCTAGACGATGGAAACCTGCAGAAAACACCACACGATCCTGCAGTCAATTCATATCCAACTGCTTTTAGGATTCTCCCACGTCCAATTCCGTGGATCTGACCTGCGATTTTGGTGTCCGAACCCCGTCCCCCAAAAGTGTCAAGCAGTCACTTTGATGATCCCTCTTGGTACTCATTGACGGCACCCGTGGACAACCAACAAATCAGGACATAAACTGAACTGATTTAGAATGACGACCCTTTTGCTCATGCCCAAAACCTCACGTCGCCTCGGAAGCATGTGCTTTTTGGGAGTGGAACAATCCGAGAGTCTGAGGCATAGATATTGGAGATTGCGCAGCAAATGGTCGCACCCTGCACGTGTTTCTCCCGAACCTCTGCCAACCACCGGCAGCACCAGCCTCACATGAACGGCTGAAGCCATCGCCAACGAGAAACCTCATATATTTATAGTGAAATCAAGGCTCACTTGCACCAAAAACCAAATGCACCAGTATCATGACATTAAATTCCACCTGCCTGCCTTAAACAAAAACCGTACTGCCTGAGCTCTTCAGCCGTTCTTTCACCACAAAGACTCGTTGTAACATGTTCTAGCTGAACTATCGACTGCCTCACTGGCCGAACTCTTCCAACCAAAACCTGTTTCACCAAAACACCTGTTTCACCCAAAACACCTCGCATGCCAACTCACTCACCAAGCTTCAGGGATGTCGCGAGCCCACTTCCGGCACCACTTCGCCCCGGCGCCCGGCAAGAGGAGCGCTCCACATGCCCGTCCGCTCCTCTGGTACTGGTGCCTCGTCCCGGCCGCAGGGGGGCTCCCAGCGGATGCTCCCAGCGGCCGTCGTCCGCATAGGCGCCAAAGACGGGACGGTCGCCGAAGCAAACGGTGGAAAGACCTGGTGGAGCTGCGGTTGGATATCGCGAACCTGCGAGCTGCAAATCATTCTATCGGGGAGGGTGCGGATTTTTTTAGGGGTGGATCATTGTTATTTTTTGGTTGGGTGGATGGACTCCAATGACTCCAATTCTAGGATGTAGATGGTGTACACCCCCAAATGTCCCTGACACAACTTTATGGGCGCTCCAAGAGCGTAAAATGATGCTGCTGGAAACGTGTTCCTTCCCGCTACAATCAATCTAAAAACCGTGACTTAAACTGATTCAAAATTCATATCCAAATACGTTCTAAATACGTTCGCAGAAAACATAAACACTGCAGGGCCGTTGGCTCCGCACCACTCTGCTCCGCGCACCGCTCCACCACCAAACCCGTACCTACTGAGGGAACCGCTGGGACCTGCGGAGGACGCACCGCGCCGCACCTCCTTCGATGGCGCTTAACTCCTCCACGACGGCCTCAGAGGCCTTGCCGCCTGGAACGGAACCGGTGATGGCACTGAAGTGCTTCCTTGGCCGAAAAGGGAAGTGACACCGACCGAACGCAGTCAATCGTCCCGTCCGGTCCGCCCGGTCTGGGTATATTGAGGCGTAAACGAAGGCGTATTATCACCAGTGAAGAGGCTGGAAGTGAAGAGACTGCCAAGTGGCCAAAGAAGTGGTAGCCCCCATAGTCTGTGGGACAGATCGCAGGTAAAACAATGTTGAATGATCAATGGACATTTGTGTGCATGCCCTCCATACCACGCACTGGGAGGCTTAAGCAAGCATTTGAAGGCAAAACACTATTTGAAGAAACATAGCTTAGCCCAACATTAAAGAAATCAAAGCGCTTCAGAACTTCTGCAGGTCAGATTCCTCATGTCCCAGAAGCACGTGGAGCTCTGATACCACGTGAAAACGAGGCCCGTGCCCGCCACTTCGTCACATTGTGCCCGGAAGGACTTGTTCTGAGCGAAGTGTTTCAGTTCTGGAAGCTTCAGAAGCCTGAGAGTTGCCCCCAAAAAACATGGGTGTAGAAATAGAATAGGAACATCCCCCAGGCAACGAACTTGCTTGGAAGGTTTGGAAAATAGACAAGATGGAAACCCGCATACCACAAGCCACTACCCGTGCCATGGCTGGCTGCTGCGTGGAGTGCAGGCTGGTGGGATGTCAAAAACTGCTGGATAGATTGCTATATACAACATAGACATGTATATATATATATATAACTAACCCAGCTGACAACCCCAATAGCAAAGCATCCACCAAGATCGGTAATTTGTTATGCGGGCGTTGTTCGTTGCGTTGTTCTTTCACAAATCGAGCATCGAGGACAATTCTTTAAAGTTCACAAAGAAAGAAATGCACTCCAATAGTCTATACAACACAGAAAAGCAATACAGGAATGCTCGCCGATGGCCGAATTGAAAGTTCAAGTGCTCACGTGTCTGCGCATGGTGCATACGCCTGAAGAACCATTTCTATACAGTGCAAAAAAGAGTGTTTGTGTGTATACATTTTTCGCACGTTAGACAGTTGCGCGCTTCAAATCCCAAGAGCCCGATCCA